TAGAAGCTCACTGACCTGTGTGGAAGCGCACCACAATGTCTAGTAGGTACAGCAGGTCACTCGTGTAGTCTAGCACCAACCAGGCCACCAGATAACCGTGCTGCAAGTCCGGGAAGCAGGCTCTGCAGGGCAGGGTTAATCATGATCGGATTAAGGGCACCCTCTGTGTGTGAGGCATCTCCCTAAGGCCCTCAACCCTCTGTCTCAGACCCTCCCATGGAAGTTGCTCCTCCTCCCTGCCCCACCAAGGGTCTGCCTTTCTCCTTGGCCTCTCTTTAGTCCTCTTTTTGGCTTCCAGCCCCTCCCTTAGCACCCCTGCCACACCTGCACACGAGGATGATGAGGTTATACATGACTGGGAAGACCATTGTGTTCAGCCACCAGTAGTAGTAATCCCCAGATGGGTCCAGGACAGGCAGCGACTTCCTGTAAGAAGGAAAGTCTTGCTTCATTTATTCACCAGGTATTCAAAGTTGTAGTTGTGACTGGGGTACCAAGAGGAATGAGGAGAGATCCCACACAAGGGACCAGGACTTCTCACCTGGTCTTGGATGGGGCTGGAGGACTGGACTCTGTTGTCTTCACTTTGGTGTCCTGGCTCATAGTTCTGTGGTCTGGTGCTGGGGTGTGAGATATTCACACCCTCTCTGCCTGTAGGGGACTTGGGAGTTGGGGGCTAGTGCCTGACTGCCTGAAGGAGGCTGCCCTTGGGCTCCTGCTGTGACTTCTTTGTCTTTGAGGCTCTTAGCAACACAGCCAGAGCTAGCGCTACTGAAGGGGTGGAGACGGTCTAGCTCTAGCACTCTGCCTGCCCAGCTAAACACCTCTAATAAGATCCCTGGAGAAGGTGGGGGTGCATGCCTCAGAGGGAAGCCTGGGTCTTGTCTCTGTTTTCCTCTTCCCCTCTTTCCACAGCAACTGAGCTACATAGGTGTCCTCTGGGTCAGAAGACCTGAGTTTTAGTGTAGGATCAAACACTCTGTTTTATCTTTGTACATTCTCTGTTTGGGCCTCACTATTTATTTATTTAACAATTATAACTGAATGGCTCATCTATGTCAGGTGCTAAACTATTCTCCAGGGACAAAGAGATGTCTCTCACATGAGAAGTGAGCTCTATTTTTGTAACCTACATCCCACCCATATCTACCTCCACCTACATCTTCCCCCATCACACCACTATCATAGATAGTGCGATGGGGCCATCCTATGGTTCTTTTGTGTTCATTTCCTTCTTGTTACTTCTAGTACCTCATCCTACCAACTACTCCATGTATTTTATGGTCCCTAATCTTTCAACTTTTCTCTTTTTGTGAACTTGCTTAAATATCTCCTACATCAAAACAAACAAAACACTATAAGTTCTCCCTCAACCTGATGTTCCTTTCACTGCTATCATCTTTCTCAGTCAACAAGTCAAAATCATAACACCCATAGGCAGGTGTTCTGTGTGCCAGGCCAATATTGTGCTAAGTACTAGCAATTGGAGATGAATAAGACACACTCTCACCTCTCCAGAAGCTCACAGTCTGCTAGGTGAAATAGTCAGGCCAGCAGGTAATTACACATTAGGTAATTAAACAGCAGCAGTCATTGCCAGGCTACTGATGAGTACTCTGTTAGGTGGATACACAGAAGGTTATTATAGTATCCATGAAGTGTCCCTACAGAGCCTGGGTTCTACAGGATGAATAGGAGTTGGGTACAGAGATGGGAGGGTGAAGAGCACTAGAGGCAGAGTGCACAAAGTGGGCAAAGGCATAGAGATATCAAAAAGCATGGGTGACTGGGCAAACATCAATTGGCTTTTTTAAGATGGCCTAGCGGGTAGCGGTGAGAGATGAGGTTGAATGATAGACAGAGGCCAGCTCAGGAAGAGTTCTGTCAGCCATGTTATAAAGCTTGGATTTTACCTAATGGCTACAGAGAACCTGTGAAGAGTTTTGCACAGTTCAGTGATAAAATCAGGTTTGTGTTTTTGGAGTGTTTCTTAGAAGAAAAACCTGTCGTCCCTAATTAATTTTTGTAAAACTCTCTTTTCCCATGGCTTCTTAATTTCTTTTCGAAAAGTATTACGCTTGTTAAAATAAAAAGACAATATTCAAAATAATGCAACAAAATGAATAAAATCCTTTGTGATGCCATAATGTCTTAGTTTTCTGTTTATTTATTTTTAGTGTCTTTCATAAGCTCCTCTGTCTATTCCTTCTATGACGGTGTTTTTTTTTTTCTTGGATTCTGTTCTAGGCTTTCCATTTTTGCCATCCTCCTAACGCTGTCTGGTTGATGTCAGTCACCCACAGACTTGCTTTCCCATACAGTGGCTCCTGAGAACTCTCCCTGAGCTGCGGTTTTCTATATGACTAACTGCTCACTGGATGTTCCTACTTGGATATCCCGCAGTCACCTTCAACCCATTGGGTCTATAACTGAGCTCATTATCTTCCTCCACTTTTTCTTCTAGAATTCCTATCTATGCCCTTTCAGCAAAAAACCTATGACAGCATTTATTATTATTACTGTATAACATTGTGGCAGTTAAAAAAAATGTTCACAAATTCTTCGACACCAATCCCTTGTGATAGTTTCAACCAATAGAGTATAGCAGGAGTGATGTTGTATGACTTCTAAGGCCAGATCATAAAAGGCCATGCAGCTTCCCTCTGGTTCTCTTGGAATGCTTCTTGTCTGGTAGCTCCCTCTCAGGATGTTCCCTCTTGGAACCTACCCATCATATTGTGAGAAGTTCTGTTTGACAGTTTCCCCACTGACTTTCGCTTTTTCGTTATCCCAGCCCAGAAATTAGATGTGTGACTGAAGAAGCCTCCAGATGCTTCCAGTCACCAGCCTCAAATCACCCCTAGATGTTCAAGCTTTACAGATAAGGCCCCAGATATCATGGAATAGAGACAAGCCATTCCTGTTGCATCTTGTCCAAATTCCCAGAATTTGTGTACATAGTAAAATGGCTATTGTTTTTATGACACTAAGTTTGGGTTGGTTTGTCACAGAGCATAGTAACCAGAACAAACAAACACAGAGAAAGGTGTATAATCCTTAAGTGTACAGCTTAATACATTTTCACAAAGTGAACACACCCATATAACCAAGCACTCAGGTCAAGAAACAGAATATCACCAGTGCCTCAGGAGCCCCACTCTGCCCCTTTCAGTCAATGTTTTTCCAAGAATAATCACTACCTGAATTCTGATATCACAGTTTAGTTTTACCTGGTTTTGAATTTATGTAAACTAAGCATTAGTTTTTAATTCTTCCTCTTATTTTCCTCTTCTATCCACCCAATCATCAAACCATGGTGATCTACCTTCTAGAAGTCCACATGTCCACTTCTCTGTGTTTCTGCTACTCTAGTTTGGGCCTTATCAGCTTGTTTGGTCTTTTGCAAAGTCCCCCTCACTATCAATCTATGTATAAAATTCTTTATAGCTATCATCCCAAAAATAAAATCTAAATTCCTTAACATGGTTTATAAAGTTCTCCAGTCCATGTCTTCAGCCTCATCTCACAATGTTTCCTCACATGTTGCCTAGGCTCCAGACACACTGTACTGACTGCAGTTCTTATAGCACCTCCCACATGCTGTCCATTCTTCCTTTCTCTGGTATATGTTGATCCTTTGGTCTGAAACTTCGATTTCTTTTTAAATACTTTTTATTTGAACTAATTTTAGGCTTACAGAAAAGTTGCAAAAATAATACAGGGTTCTTATAAATTCCTTATCCATGTTCCCCTAACGTTATGATCGTATATAACTATAGCACAATGATAAAAACCAGGTATTTAACATTGGCAAAATACTTTTTTTTTTTTTTTTTTTTGGAGACGGAGTCTCACCCTGTTGCCCAGGCTGGAATGCAGTGGTGCCATATCGGCTCACTGCAACCTCCGCCTCCCAGGTTCAAGCGATTCTCCTGCCCCAGCCTCCCAAGTAGCTGGGATTACAGGAGCACGTCACTACGCCCAGCTAACTTTTGTATTTTCAGTAGAGACGGGGTTTCACTATGTTGGTCAGGCTGGTCTCGAACTCTTGACCTCGTGATCCGCCAGCCTCGGCCTCCCAAAGTGCTGGGATTACAGGCGTAAGCCACCGCGCCCAGCCGGTAAAATACTTTTAAAACTACATACTTTATCTGAAACTTCTATTTTTCTATTTTAGTTTATCTTACTCTTGCTTGTTTCCCAAGACTCGGCTTAGACACCATCTCCTCCTGGAAATCTTCTTTAAGCTCCTTCATCATACCTTCCTCTCATCCTCTATACATACAAATCATGCTAAGTGCTGCTTCTAGATGGCCCCCGTAGTAATGCACTTATTACACTACGTTGCAATTCTCTGAGGTCCCGGAGAGCAGAGACCGGTTCTAACTGATCTGGAATCCAGCTGGGCATGCAGGTACTTATTCCGTGTTCCTTGACTAAGTGCTCAAGGGGTCACGGAGCAGCACAGCACAAAGGTGTTGGGCGAGCCAGGGGCAGTCATCGCTGGGGTACTAGAGACCAAGCTATGCACGACGATGCAGCAAAATGAACTAGAGTGCCCGCAGTCAGCCCTCTCCAGGCCTCGCTTTTCCGCAGGCCGGGCCCACCTACTGATTCCTCCTGTCTTTTCGTGATAGCCACGCCCCTCACACCCACTCTTCCACTCCACGCGTCGCCCGGAATCCGTGGCCCCACCCCTTTCTCGTCTTTCTTCCGGCTCCATCTCTCTCAAGCTCCGCTCTTCTGATCTTTCCCTGCCTGTAAAAGTCGCGTCTCTCCTTAGGTCCCGCCTTCTGCCCTCTGGTTCGATCTTTCCTTCCCGGGCTCCGCCTCCGCTCTGCGGGCCTCCACCTTCCCTGAGGCCTTCCCCTATGACACGCCGGAGTCCCTCTGAGGGGCGGGATTTACGTACGAAGGGGCGGAACCAAGAGGAGAGGCGGTGCTCCTCCCTCGGATAGCCGTCGGCGATCCCGCCCCTGCGTTCAGCCGTTGCCAGGAAACAAGCGTCCTTGCTCGGGTTTGGTCGGGCTCAGCCAATGAGCTGGCACGCCATTGCCCAGTCGTGCGTCCCCGGGCGGTTACGTGTGGTGCGCGGGGGCGCGGACTGCGTGTGGCGTGGGGCGGGGCGCGGTTGGTGCGCCTGAGAAGCGATGGCGGCGGTCTGAACTCACCTAGCACTGCCGCAACAAGCGGGCCCGGCCAGGTTCGGCGTTCCGTGAGTGAACAGTACGCATGGGCCAGAGGGCCTGGAGAGGCAGGCGCTTGGGAGGATGAGAGACTGGGAAAAGACAGTACCGGGTTTGGTTACTGTACTGGTTGTGAGGTGTTGGCAGGTGATGAGGGTCCGGGTGTGAGTGGCTAAGATAAGAGAAGGAAGATGAGAGCTTACAGGTGAGTGGACAAATGAGGGGCTGTGAGAGGCTGGCTGCTTTCGGAGGTGCCAAGTTGAAGGGACTCCTGAACGCGGTTTACTAAGGCTGGGGCCACTGAGGGCTGAGTTGAAGGATACTCTGGGACTAGTGTGAGGGGGTAAGGCCTGCGCGAGGAGAGGGAGAGTCAAAGGCGCAGCTGGGAGCCTGCGGGGTGGCGGCAAATTGGTGAGGGAGTTAAAGGCGGGGCATGGATGGAGGGAATTAGGGCTGTGAGACTTGGATAAAGGTGAGAGGTTGATTCTGAGGCCTCCCTTGATGGACTGTCATGTTCAGTAAGAGCAATAGTTTAGGCAAAGTAGGGCAGCTTGGATGGAAGTGTTGTGCACCTGACTCCTCTGCTCCCATGGACTTTCCATATTCTGGAGGACAAGAAAATGAAGGTGTGTTGGGCAATAGTACTATGGTAATGAAAATAATATTTGAGGCTCAGTCTTCAACAGAGTAATCACTGAAACTTCAGTTCCTTCGACTTCCTCCTCTGGACTGCATAGTTGAAGATGGGCCCTCTCATGAAAGGTTTTGCGCTGTGACAGCTTGTGTTTTCTCTCTACCTGCTTCTGGACAACCTTATTCGACTGCTGCTCCTTACCTGTGCTTAACTGTGGGTCTTTGATTGGACTGACCATATTCAGTTGCTAATTCTACTTTTATGGAGGTCATATAGTTTGCCCTATACAGCACTGTATTTAGGGTTCCGAACAGGGTGGCCTTGCTGTCCTTTCTTACAGTTGAATGTTTTAAAAAGCTAGCATATATTATATTTAAAATGTATGTTTGATGAGTTTTGACATGTGTAAACATCTGTGAAACCCATCATCACTCTCAAGATACTGAACATTTCAACCACCTGAAAATTCATCTCTTCATCTCCACACCCTGTAATTGGGTTCATCTTACTAGCATTCTTTTAGGTCCTCTTCTCCCCACCAACCCAAATGCACATGAAATTCTGGAAAGTTGTGTTGGCATTCAGTGATAACGGCCGCTTTCATACTACTAAATTTTCCTCTCTACTGCTAGTCTGTCATGGGGTTGGGACATCCTGATTCTTTCCACACTCAGGAAGAGTTAAGTCTTTCCTTAACTCTACATTGGACAGGGCGAAACCATTCCCCGAGAATTAGACAGCCTCAGTCCCCATTATTTTCCAGAGTCAGCTTCAGAGCCGACTCCTCTATCCTGTGGTATATTCTCATTGCTTCTTTCTGGAGGGCAAACAGGCCTCCATATTGGTAGAACACTTGGCAACTTGCCCAGACAGTCAGAACTTATAGTTCAGAGTTTAGAGTAGTGATTCCTAAACACTGGACCAAGGACCCTGTACATGATAAAATTATCATCTCTCCAAGATGGAGGGAGAGAAACAAAGACAGCATGGTTAGTTATAAGATAAATTTATTATCAGAGATTATCATTCATATTCTTTTGGTGTTGAAGTGCTCTTTCATTGATGCAGTAATGGTAACAGTAGATGGTGGGTTAAAAAAAGATCTAATTTACGTAAATAAAAAGTGACAACCCAATTTTTAATTTAAAAAATTATTTCTATAGCTTTATGAACTTCAGAAATTTAAAGTGATGATGGTGTGGCTGTTGTATTAGGTTGAGGAAGCATACATTTTTACAATGGTTCTGTGTAACTTGACATCTGAACAACATTCATGCTTTACATAGGGATTTCAAATTTTATTATACTGATTTATATAGATACCTTGTAAAGTAGACAAAGACAGGAACTTTCATTTTATAGATGAGAAATTAAATTCAATAACCAGAGGTCATATAGGGATACAGTGGGAAAGCTGAACCCAGAATTTTGTCTCGGAGAGAGAGAGACTTTGGTAAAGAAAATTTATAATAGACACTGAAGGTGATGTGGGAGGATTTTTTAATGATTTGTAATTGTTCAATTTCCAAAAGACAGAAAAGGGACTGTGAGGGTGACGTAGGGATGAAGGTTATGGACATTGGAACAGGTATATATAATACCTGGATCACATCTTGATAGTGGATCATATCATGATAGTGATAGGATGAATCAAATCAAATATTAGATGGCTCTTAGGGACTGTCTAAATTCTTGGTTATAATGGAGAAAGCACTGGATTTGGTAAGCTTGCTATACCAAACTCTGTTGAAATAGTAGTGCATTAAGTATAATGGATTTTGATTTGTGTCATATAGTGAGTGGTAGGTCTGAGAGGACGAAACATACACGAGGATGATAATGTAGAGATAGAAACATGTTTAGGGTACTGTGTTAGTCATTTATTCCATGTCTGCTCTGTGCCAGACACTCTACTAAGTACTAGGAGAATGAATTCATTTATTCATTCAACAAATACTTCTTGAACACATAGTTTGTGCTTGTGATGCTCACATATTATGGGATAACAAGATGAATAAAACATGGTCATCTGAGCACTCAAGGGATTTTCAGTCTAGTTGGGAGAGTTAGACACATGAAAACATAATTTCAGTTTAGAGAGAGAATGTGAAATGTGAAAATATATCATAATAGGCCTGGCGTGGTGGCTCATGCCTGTAATTCTAGCACTTTGGGAGGCTGAGGCAGGCGGATCACTTGACCTCAGGAGTTTGAGAGCAACCTGGGCAACATTTTGAAACCCTGCCTCTACCAAAACAACAACAACAACAACAATAACAACAAAACCACCACGAAAAAAAACCCACCAAAAATTAGCCAGGTGTGGTTGCACATACTTGTGGTCCTGGCTACTTTGGAGGCTGAGGTGGGAGGATTGCTTGAGCCTGGGTGGCAGAGGTTGTAGTGAGATAAGGTCACGCCACTGCACTCCAGTCTGAGTGACAGAGTGAGGCCCCATCTCACCACAGGTATCTCGAAATTAACATGTCCAAAACAGAATTCATAGTCTTTGCCCCAAAAGGCCGCCTTTGCACTCATATCCTCATCTCAGTCCAGGCAAGGACTACATTGTCATCTTTCATACTTCCTGCTCTTTTACTCCCTGCATTCAATCATTTGCTAAAATCTTAATACATTTCCCTCTGTGTTATCTCTCTTCTCTATATCTCCATTGCTACATCTTCACTGTTAAAGCTTTAGTTTAGCTCCCCCTCACCTCATGTGATTTTTTTAAAACAATTTTTTGTCTTAAAACTTGCTCTTTTCTAGTCCATCCCTAGAATGATTTTTCTGAAAATATACATCTGATCACTGAACTCCTCTGCTTAAAAACTTTTGGCTCTTTGTGTCCTGTAGGACAACATCCAAATTTCTTAATATGGCATCATTTAGCTTCAGCTCACCTCTCCAGTCTCATCTGTCTCTCCCTAGTCTGTGTTCTAGTTTGAAGAAATTGTTCAGAGTTCCCTAAAACCGTGCTGCTTTTATGAGCCTTGAAATCTTTGTAGTAGCTGCTTCCTCTACTAGGAATGCCTTTTCTTCTCTGCCCAGCTAACTTTCCTTATCCTTTAGGATCTAGTTCAGTTTCACCTCCTTTTTGACATCTTTGTCAAGGTAGAGATAACTGTGTGTGACATTAGGATTCATTGCTGTAAAGAGGAGTCACTGTAGAATAGAGGTTCACTTTTGTGAATTAGATGGGCTGTGCTGGAGTCAGATGAGGAGATCCCTGCAAGAAGCAGAAGCGATACTGTGGGGAGGGAAGGGAATGAGTTGGGACCATACCCTGACATCCCATTTGTCTGAGGGATGGAAAAACAGGGAAGGTATGTGTAAACTGAGCTGTAGTAAATTCCTAGTAGGTGGTGTTTTTGGTTTGTTTGTTTGTTTTTTCCTTTGTATTCCTATGAGATTTTAATCAGGCCATTCACCTTTCAGTATTTAGGGTAACAGCCCATTCATCCTTCTTGCCTAGGAAGAGCCATCGTAAGGAGAGAGAAACCACAGAATTTTACTGACCTGTTCTTGGAAGATCATTTTGGTCTCTCCCTGTCCAACGTAGGTGTTGCAGGTATATCCCTTCCCCCAGTTCCCTCCTCTCTGCCTCTCCCAGTGCAAAGGTTCATAAGTGAGGCTGAGCCACTTCCTGCCCTGTATCTGCTGTTCTGAGGTTCGTTGTCACCCTTGCTGTGTGTGGCTGTAAGACTGTATTTTGGGCTGTAAGGTGAGTGCTTGATTTTGGCCATTTTGGGTCTGAGAGATCAGCTCCTGCCCCTTTTTACTCTGTGGCTGAGCCTGAAGGTAAATCTGGAGAGTGGGGAGTTCTGCTGTGTTTTTTTTTTTTTTTGTCTGGACTTTGCTATGGGAGGAAAGGACACCATAAGAGGGTGGTGATTTTAACTTCTTCTTTATCTTGTTCTGAATGTTGCAGAGAGTCTAAGTGGGTGATAGGAATACCAAACTATGACTTTCTTTTAAGCTTTTTTTGTATGTGAAGAGGGCCCAGTTTAAGTGTTGGCTTTTGGAATCTGAGATGCTGATTCCAACATCTTCTCTTGAGGTCTTTGAAATGGCATTGTAGAACTGGGGTGGGCAGGCGGGTGAGGAAGGGTCCTGGAGGCTAATCTTACTTGGTTCCATGAGCAGTGCCCTTTGTTGGTCAAGTGGTGGACCAATAATGGGCACCTCAGGTATATTGCAAGCTAGGAGCAGTTAATGTTCGGAATTAAATTCCAGAAGCTGGAGGCAGTTTAGTTTTGGATATGTTAAGACTTTACTGAGACAGAATGCTTGGCCTTTCTTCAGCTGACTGAGGTATGTATGGGAGGCGATAAGGATGGACACATCAGAGCTGGTTATATCTCTTCTCTTAGAGATATGGGCATCTGGGTCAAATAGGATCAGGAGAAGGAAGGAGGAAAGGGACATGTAATTTACAGAGTATCTTCTTTATGGTTGGAATGCTACCTAAGTTATTATATGATTTAATTTTTAAAACTAGCAGTAATTATTTCATTAGGAATTTATAGATGAGGAAGCTGAGGCTCAGATATGTGAAATGGTTTATTTAAGGTCACACAGCTGGAAAATGGTGGACTGAGATTCAAACCACTGAGGGGCTCCAGAGTTCAGACTTTATCTACTACTCTGTGTTATTCTTGTTTGATTGTCTTTGTTTTCATTCTTCAAATGAGATACGATTGAGAAGAGTGTTCCATAAGCAGTAATACTCTTTTTTCAGTGAGGCTGTTTGCAGGTGACAGATAGCTCAAGCTGGGTTTGGGAAGAATTTAATAAAGGGACTATATTTACAAAGATATGGGTAGTGTTTAAGGAAACCAACAAGGGGATGATGCAGTATCCCAGGGCTAATAACTGTAAGAAGGGCTAGCCATAGGGGAGAGTGCTTACCACTTTTCTCAACTGTTGACTTTTCCAGTCCATACCATAAATAGCTGGGTGGATGGATAAGTACTTGTTCCAGTGCATCCCTGCTGATGGCTACTAGTCTTTGTGGCTGTGTTGATAATTTATTAAGAAACCATGTATGAAAGACTGAGCAGTGCTTCTGTGGCTTTGCCACCTTCTCACCCATTTTCTTCTCTCCCACCCACAATCTTCTAGGTGAGTGAGGGAGGGAAGGCGGGGTGGGGTTGGTGGTGGATTGAATGTTAGCTTCTCTCTTTCTTCATGTTCAGATTTGCGTGAAGTAGCACCCATCCTTTATTTATTACTCTATTCTTCCTTTCTCAGAGAAGGTGTCTTACCTATTTTTCTGAATATACCTGATTTTAATGTCATTTATCTCTATCTTATTTATTTATAAATTGTCCCTTTCTTCAGACTACTTCTCTCACTTAACAGATACCCTTATAACTCCCCATCCTACAGCAAAACCAAAATGCTTTTTCTTGACTCCCCTTACCACAACTTCTTTAAGCTATTGCCCCGGGTTTTTTTTTTTTTTTTTTTTTTTTTGACGGAGTTTCACTCTTGTTGCCCAGGCTAGAGTGCAATGGCGTGATCTTGGCTCACCACAACCACTGCCTCCTGGGTTCAAGCGATTCTCCTGCCTCAGCCTCCCCAGTAGCTGGGATTACAGGTGTGCACCACCACACCCAGCTAATTTTGTATTTTTTAAATAGGGACGGAGTTTCACCATGTTGGTCAGTCTGTTCTCAAACTCCTGACCTCAAGTGATCTACCTGCCTTGGCCTCCCAAAGTGCTGGGATTACAGGCATGAGCCACTGTGCCCGGCCTGCCCTATTTTTATCCTTTCTCATTTCACTGAATTTCCTGAAAGTACATCTTACTTTTCGATTCCTATACTTTAACCAACTAATTTGACTAAGTTTGTAAAAAACTTGATTGTGCCATTTTCAGTCTTCATTCTACTTGATCTTTCTATAGAACTATACACTATGGGCAACCTCCAGTTTCTTGAAACTTCCTTTCTTTGATGTCTAGATCATCATTTCTTGAATTTCTCCTTTTATTTCTGGCTACCTTCAAAGTCTTCTTTAAAGACTCCTCCTTTTTAACTTTCCTACATCCTGGTTTTCCCCAGGATTTTACCCTTACCTCCTTCATGATCTGCTGTTCTCCTTGCATAATTCCATCTACTTCCATAGTTTCATAGTTGCCTATAAGCTGCTAACTCTTGAATTTATATCTTTTGTCTTGATTTTATTCATTATCTCAAGTATGGTATTCCTGCTTGCTTTCTGGACATCATGAATATCCTGTAGATATCTCAAAACTTAACATACTCAAAACTGTACTCAACCTCTTTTCTAAAACACAGTTCCCCTTCTTACGTGTTTCAAGTCTGTTAATGGCTTTATCTTTTACTGAATCTCCTATACTTCCTATGAAAGTCTTCTCTCATTCCCCATTTATTTGCCAGGTCTTATTGCTTTTACTTTGCGGTTAATTTAAATCTGGAGGCAGATACTCTGCGTTTGCATTTTAGTCCTGTCACTTACTAGCTGGGTATGTTGGGCAATTTATTTAACTTCCCTGGGGTTTGATTTCCTTATATGTAAAATGTGGATAATAATACTTAAATGAGTTTTTATGAGGTTTAAATTAGCTACTTCGTGTAGTGCTGGAATGGAGCCTGGCATGTAGTAAATATATGTTTGCTGTAATAATTATTAATTCAGCATTCACTTTTGCAGGCATATTTGAGTTCAGGCTCTATGTTTGCACTGCGATATCAAAGAAAAATGAATGATATTTTTATTTTGTCAAGGAACTTGCTATTGATTGGCAGAGGTGTTACTGGTATAAATAATTTCAGTATTGCATGGAACATATTAAGATAGAGTTGAATCTCAGATTTATCTTTCCTGATATTTCTCTTACTACCATAGTTGATGCCTTACTTTTTTATTTTCAAATGTACTATTGAAACAGCTTCTTATAAATTGTCCACTGCAATCCATCTCTCTCTGCTCCACCTTATACTGTTTTCTGATATATTTTTGAAGGCCAATCTGATCTTATCATTTTCATGTTTAAAAACCTCCTTTGTTTCTAGGGTGTCAATAAGTAAAACCTAAACTCCTTAGCATAATATTTAGTGATATTTATAACCTTCACCCATATTTACCCTTCAACTAATGTTGTGCTTCTCTTCTCTGAATAGTCTGTAATTAAGGCACACTAAATTTGCAACTGTTCTTTGAATTTGTCATGTTCTTTCACAGTACCATAGTTTTGTACGTAATGTTTTTAATATGAAGAAAACCTTTTCTTCTGCTCTCTACTTAATTAGTATCTCATTATAAGTTCAGTATTAACTGTGTGGGACCCTCTAATAGCACCCCAGGCAGAGTTAGTTGCTTTCCTTCATGCCCCCATGACCCTTTTTATAAATACCTTTATTTACAATATTTGTTGGATTTACGTTTATGCTACCTCAACTGTTTTTATCCATCTTTGTTATTTCCAGTGCTTACTTAGAACAGTGACCAGTATTTTATCCATATGGAGGTACATTGAGTTAATCAATGAGTAAGCCCTACCTGCTCTTTAGGACTGGCCCCTCCCTTTGTAAGACTCACCTATTCTATAGAAATTTTCCTTAAACATAGTTGCTACCTTCCTTTAGTTGTGAGCTGGAAATTGTGTGAGAGAGTATCTGGGTGAAGGGAGATGTTGTTAATATAACTTTAAGGCAAAATGTGGGGCTGGTGCCAGGTCTCTGGATTCCTTCAGCCTTTGTTGAGTATAAAGAGGAAGGACAACTGAACCACCCCTTTCCTCTCAAGGTTTTATGCTTGTGAGAGACAGTACTGATGAGGGTGTGGTGGCTGTAAAGGAGAAGGAACCATAGTTCCTTGCAATAGCTACTTGGTGCTTTTTTCCTTTTTCTTGTGAGGATATCTTAACATTTTCTTGGGAGTGAGTTTTGGATGTGTCTGGCAGGAGTGGAGATGGGAATGTGTCTGTCTTCCTTAGTGGAAGGGAAATAGCTCTGCTGTATTGGTTGGCTCTGAATTCTTCCTCTTAAGAGTATTCAGTCAGTTAAGGGTCTATTTGCTCATCTCCCATGGGTCACTGGGTAGGTTTCTAGGGAAGCACCTGTGATAGACAGAAAGACATTTCTTCTTCAGTAGTCCCAGAGGGCTAGAGTCAGATCAAGGCTGGATTTCTTGATTGGTTGTTCATTCATTCATTCATTCATTCACTCACTCATTTACTTCAGCATTTATACATTCAACAAATATTTATTGAGTCCCTAGGCCCTGGGGATACAACAGACACAATAAGATAAACCCTGCCCTCCAACAAGCTACCTAATGTGTGGAAGATAGACAAATAAATAAATCATTTCCGAGAGTGAAACTGCTAAGAAGAAAGGATTAGGAAGCTAGAGAGTGAAGGTGAGAAGATGTGCTATTTAGATAGAATTGTTAAGCAGGGCCTCTCTGGGGAGATAACATTTGAAAACAAACAAACAAACAAACAAACAAATGAGCAATGACAGCAGTGTGAAGAGCAGGAGAAGGACATTCTAGTCTAGGCAGAGGGAACAAAAAGTATTCAAGAAGGCCTGTGTCACTAAAGTGTGAGTGAGAAGGAGAATGGTAGGAAGTTATACAGATTACATTATTTAGGCTCCTGTAGGCCAAGATAAGGAATTTGAACTATTATAGTGTGTTAGGAAATTATTGGAGAGTATTCAACAGAGGACAGGTCATATAATTTAGGTTTTAAAAATATCACTCTGGTTGTTGTGATAACTCTCAGGAGGATAATAAAGGAATCATGGAGGCCAGATTGGAAGCTACTGCAATAGTGAGACATATTTTGAAGGTAGAGATGATAGGGTTTGCTGATGAACTGGATATTGGAGGTAAAGAAAAGAAAAAAGAAGGATAATGTGCATGTTTTCAGCTTGAGCATTTAGGTGAATTTTGGTATCATTTTCTTTTGAGATGGAGAAAGTTGAAGGAGTAACAGGTTTGGTGGTAAGAAATCTGAGTTCTGTTTTAGACATGTCAGTTGCTGACTGTGTGTGTGTGTGCGTGTGCGTGCGTGTGTGTGTATGTATGTATAGGTGTGTGGAGTTTTCAGTGGGGTGGTGGGTCTGAGTTCTGGAAAGTGAGCTTCTATTTATCCCTTCCATTATCTCTTCTCTGAATTAGATTTAGAAATCTGGACTGGCCAGTGACCTCATGGCTTGCCATTCCAGCCTGGTATAACCTCTGGCTCCATGGGCAGCTACTGGCTCCTACAGACCGGATGAAGCAGACTGGAGACACAAGTGGAGAAAACCTCCAGCTGGCAAATCCTCAAAGTACAGGCCTCTGGCTGCCAGTCCTGCCCAGCCTGCCTCATGGAGAGGATGAATTGGCTGAGCAGACTGGCCTCCCGGGGCCCTGGGCACCGTATACCTCAAGGGGCCAATCTCCAAACCCCAGTCATGGCTGACCCTGAGACCTGCCTCATGGTCTTCAAGAATCACTGGTCCCAGGTAGGAGACTGTATGGCACAGGGCTTCGTCTGCTGACCACCTGAGTTCTCCCAAGCTTCTGTATTCTCCTCATCCCATTTAGTCACCTTATCAACTTAGATTCCTTCCATCTTCTGTCCTTTTTCCCTAGGTGGTGCGAATCCTGGAGCGGCAAGGCCCTCAGGCAGCTCCTGGGGGTGCAGATGATCTCAGTGCTGTGCGCAACCACACTTACCAGATGTTGACACTGCTGGCAGAGGATCGTGCAGTTCCTTCGACCCCCACAGGCCCTGGCCCCCTGCTGGAGTTTGCTCTGCACGAGGATCTGCTGACCCGTGTGTTGACATGGCAGCTGCAATGGGATGAGCTTGGGGATGGGGTCGAGGAACGGCGGGCTGAGCAACTGAAACTATTCGAGATGCTAGTGAGCGAAGCTCGCCAGCCACTGTTGCGGCATGGTCCAGTTCGTGAGGCTCTGCTCACTCTGCTGGATGCCTGTGGCCGCCCTGTGCCCAGTAGTCCAGCACTGGATGAAGGCTTGGTGCTACTTCTCAGCCAGCTGTGTGTTTGTGTGGCCCAGGAGCCTTCATTGCTCGAGTTCTTCCTGCAGCCACCTCCTGAGCCTGGAGCTGCTCCCCGTCTTCTTCTCTTTTCTCGCCTTGTCCCTTTTGTGCATCGAGAGGGCACCTTGGGCCAGCAGGCCCGTGATGCCCTACTTCTTCTCATGGCTTTGTCAGCTGGGAGCCCCACTGTGGGCCGCTACATCGCGGATCACTCTTACTTCTGCCCGGTTAGCACCCCCTGGCATGGAGGGTAGGGTATGGCATGTAGATACTGGACAGCACCTTCCTATCCAGGAGAGGGGGAGAGGCTATGTACCAGGGCCCGTTCCTCTAGGAAATAGTTCCTGGATTTGAAAGCAGCCCCCTGGAGTTGTAGTGGGGATGAGTCATGGGCTTAGATGGATAGGGCAGATACTAAGGCTCTTCGTAGGCTCGTGAATTCTAGGTGAGTTTCCAGCACATTGGGTAGCCAAATGCTTGCTTTGGTAATAACTTATACCCCTATTCCCATCAAAAGTCTGGATTAATAGCTCCCCTATTCCACTTTCTATATTTTATAAATATATTTTATATATGAGCCTTTGGTAACTTCTCATAGGTGCTGGCCACAGGGCTCAGTGCCCTGTACTCATCACTGCCTCGAAAGATTGAGGTTCCAGGGGATGATTGGCACTGTCTGCGACGGGAAGACTGGCTGGGAGTGCCAGCCCTTGCACTCTTCATGAGTTCCCTAGAGTTCTGCAATGCAGTAATTCAGGTAGGACTGGAGTTTCCTGGAAGTCTGGCCCTTGATCATTCTTGGGAGATGAGGTAGGAAGGGATATATTCCCTGGAGTTCTGTCATTTTTCCATCTTGGAAGTAGGGTGCCTCTCTGTAGTGCTCTGTTCTACTCCCTTCCAGGCAGTGGTTGCCTCATAACCCTCCCGGTTCTCTCTTACACTCCTACAGGTGGCTCACCCCCTGGTGCAGAAGCAGTTGGTTGATTATATCCATAATGGGTTCCTGGTGCCTGTCATGGGTCCTGCCTTGCACAAGGTGAGAGTCATGGGTGGCAAGGCAGATAAGGGGCTAAGCTGCAGTGGTAACTTCAGTGCCAGGACTAATGTAGGAGGTGGTGGGTAGAGTACTCCTCCCTTTTCCCCTGTCTGCTCCTGATTTGTCTTAGAATCCAGGGAGCATGGCCCTGTATGTGCAGGGAAGCTGTACATTTCCAGACTTTCCCTTCTTTTTGTCCAGACCTCTGTGGAGGAGATGATTGCCAGTACCGCCTATCTGGAACTTTTCCTACGGAGTATCTCAGAGCCTGCTTTGCTCCGTACCTTCCTGCGATTCCTGTTGTTGCACCGGCATGACACCCACACCATCCTCGACACCCTCGTTGCCCGTATTGGCAGCAACTCCCGGGTATGGCCCTTACCCCTGTCCTGGGTTACCTGGATGAGCCATCTTCTCTCTCTGACCTTTGTTCTGGGAGGGTATTCCTGCCCTTCTTTTACCTTTATCTCCAGCAGTCACCTCAAAATTAAGTGGCATTAACTTTACAGCATTAAACTTTTAACCATTTCGGGTACATATTTTGATCTATTCCCCTGCTTTTATAATAGATGAATCTAGAACACAGTCACCTTTTCTGGATGACTTTGGCTGTTCATCATGACTGTAGGTTTTGCTACTGTACTGTGTTTGTAATGTAGTATTGACCTGAGTTCTCTTAAACTGTTTGTCACTCTGTGGCCTGCTATGGGTGACTTGAGAGCACTTTAAGTTGTGTGTCTGCTTTGATAGATGATCCAGGTGCTACTGATATGCTTACCTTCTTTCTTCTTTGGATTTGCTGCTTTTGAACTATTACTTGGAGCACTCATCCACCCATCTATCTACTTTCGCTCCTTCTTTCTAAACATTTTTATTGAACATTCACTGTGTGCCATACTGTTTGCTGGTACTGGAGATACAATGATAAATAAGGTAGACATTGTTGCTGCTGACTTCCTGAAGCTTACTTTGTAGAGAAGACAGACAAGCAAACACATTAATAAGTTGTGGTCAGGGTTATGAAAAACCTGCTTAGAAATAATAGGGTGGTCAAGGAAGACCTCTCTGAAGAGATGACATTGAACTGAGACATAAAGATTATAAAGGAGTTAACTTACTGATCAAATAGAAGAACAGAAAAACAAAGGGAACAGCATGCAAAGGACATCAAATGGGGGAAGGGCTTAACATGTTTGAGGAAATGAAAGACTAGAGGTGTAGTGAGCAAGGGGAAGAAAGGAATGAGATAAAAATAGAGGAGTAAAATTCAGATCATGCATGACCTGGAAGATCATGGCAAGAACTTTGGATATTAACAAATAGAAATATATATAACATGGGAGTGGATAGATTCCAAGTTATAAAGACTTAAGTCTTTCTAGGAGAATAAAGCATTAATTTTGCCATGGACTTCATGGCATTTATTTTGCCTCTGGGACCATTTTTGCTTCCTTTTTTTATTATAAGTTAAAGTTCCCTGGATCCATGTGTTTAAAATAGAAGTTCTTTCATCACTAAGGGCTCTGGAAAACTTCGAGATAATGAGGTACTTGGTAGTAGAGTTCCAGGTCAGTTTCCTGGATAGCTGTATTTTGTATAGGTGCAGTTTCTGAAGCTAAGTTAGGGTGTATAAGAAATATTCCAGACTGATTGATTAAACCAGTGTTTACAAACCAAGTGTATACTTTAGAAACATCTATGAATCTTTGAAGATGGCAACTAATAACTACAACAGCTTCTGAGCTGTACCTCAGATTTCTTGAATCTTTGGGAGTAGGCTCAGGGCATGTGTATTTTTAAAATTTTCCAAAAAGTAATCATGATAGATGCCTTGGGTTAAGATTTATTGGAACCAATAGGGAATAGGTATTAAAGCTTTAATTTTACAAAGATACCGGAAGTATTTTTTTTCCCTCATTATGCTGAAATTAGGCCATGATTGGCCTCAGATTTTCCTGTTCATGTTTAGAGACAGTTGATTTTCTTTTTGAGGTTTTATCTGTTGTTTCTATCCATCTTCCTTTTGTCTTAACTTATCCTAATTTTGATTCTTACTCGCTATCTTTCATTTATTTTTAGTAGTTGTTTCTCTTAGGCTCCCATTTGGTCCCCTGGTCTTAGGAGCCTTACATGTTCTTGGGATGTTTCTTCTTGGTTCCTGGTTCTTGGAGGAACAGATCTCTTCTAATTTCAGGATGCCCGTGTTGAACATGCAGATGCTTTCCTTTCCACTGTGGTCCTTTCAAGCTTGATTCTTTGGCTTGACTTTGTAACTTATATAGCCTGTGTGCCTTGAAGTGACTAATTTTGGCTAACCAGCCTGTGTTTATTTCCTATTGCTGTCATAACCAATTATCAAACCTAATGCTTAAAACAGATTTATTGTCTTACAGTTTTGTAGGTCATACGTATGACATGGATCTTGCCAGGCTAAAATCAAAATTTGGGGGGATGGGATCTGTGTCTGATCCCATCCTGAGACCTGATCTCCTTTCAGGAGGCCGTAGGGGAGGATCCATTTCCTTACTTATTTCTATTGGCAGAATTAATTTTCTAGCAGCTGTGGGATTGAGATCTCTGTTTTCTTGCTGGTTGACAACTGAAGAACATTCTCAGCCTGTAGAGCAACCAGATTCCTTGACTCATGGCCCCCTTTCATCCATAGATAATAGATACCTGTGGATCTCTATTATCTGTGGATATCTAGGATAATCTCATCTCAAATTCCATAATCTTAATCACATTTGCGAAGTTGTCTCTGCCACATAAGGTGAAATATTTTTAGGGTCTGGAGATTAGGATGTGGACATCTTTGAGGGACCACTTTTCTATCTACTTACTACTTTTCAGTGAGTCTGAATTTTTTCATTGCTAGCTAAAGTGGTCATTTAGGATAGCCTCCTGAACATCCATGCTGTTCAAAATGTAAACTGCTATCATGTGTTTTTCTTGTTGTGTGGTTGACTTTTAATTCTCTCATGGTCATTTAGCAAATAATGAATGCCTAAACAGTTCAGGTAGTGCCCTAGACTAAGACCCATTTGTTATCTTCAGGGAGCTCAAGGTGTCTGACACACTTGCTATAAGGGAAGCATAGAGATAGTGCTAGGAAGATTCAGAGAAGTGAGGGAGAGGTTACATTTGTGTTTTCTTTGCCTAGTCAGAGATGAACTAACCTTCTTCCTTTTCTAAAATTAAAGATTTCCTTTAATCTTGACCCACCTACTTTTTCCTTTTCCTGTCAGCTGCCCTTGAGTTGTTCTTCATCCTGCCTTCTGAGAGATACACTAGTGTTAGAGAGGTGACTCAGACTTCATATTCGCAGCCCCACCTACTTCCCAGTTGGGAATCTTCCGGGTTCCCTCTAGTTTCTTATTGGTAGGCATTCAGTTACTGTGTTGCTACAGTCCCTTCTGGCAGGCATTCACTTAATTACCATGTTTCTGTTGTCCTGTTAGTCATTCACTCAATCACAGTATTTCTTAGAGTCTCTTCTCATGGATTTTCATTCAAGTGTTGCTGGAGTCTCTGCTGACCAGGTATTTGTAGCTAGAGAGTCTGTAGAAGTCCATTGGGTCTGAGATGCTTCATTTGTATGAACAGTAAAGTCTTGCTCACAAAGATCTTGTGATCATCTAGCTAATACTTGAATGACTTATGTGCTATGCGTGGTGCATGGGCCTCTAGGAGTTCCTCTAGGAGTGGTTGGTTGGCCAACTTGGGGTTGGGGGGTTCCCATTTGGTGAATGGCTTGGAGGGCAGAGAACTCTTATGGTGACTCCCTTCCTCCCCTCCACTCCCCCACCCAGCTCTGCATGGTCTCTCTGAGTCTCTTCAGGACCCTCCTGAACCTCAGCTGTGAGGATGTCCTGCTGCAGCTGGTTCTCAGGTATCTGTTGGGGCAGGGCTGAGGGATGGCTGACCCTGAAGCCTCAGAGTCTTGTGCATTGCTGGGGCAATGGGCTGTATTGGGGTTGCTCATGAGTTTCCACTTAGAGCCTGGCTTAACCATACAGTTTCATTGGCCTGATGTTCTTCTAGGCCCTGTCCTTCCTTCCTGATCTACCCTGTGTCCCCTTTGTGTTGTCTTTCTCAGGTATCTTGTTCCATGTAACCACGTTATGCTGAGCCAGAAGCCAGCTGTGCGTGATGTAGACCTATATGGACGAGCAGCTGACAAGTTTCTCTCCCTAATCCCTCGCTGTTGTCGGCACCACGCCCCCAGCCCACCTCGTCCAGAGCATGCCTCATGGGCACGAGGTGGGCCTAGCAGAGAGACAGGGAGAAGGGAGGACATCACGGGTATGGCCTGGGTTCTGGGGGAGCGTAACAAGGATGGGCTGGGGTGAGGGGAGGAAGATGGCCATGAATGACATTCTGTCTTTGGGGAGGTTGATGAGGGTGTCTTGCAGGGAGGATCCTTAACACTCACCAAAGAAAATTAGAGTGGGACTTCTGGGCAAAGCTATTCTTGTTCTTCTCTCTAGTCGTATACTCTTCCTGTTTCCATTGTTTCTTCAGTGGTGATGGTGGTGAGTGGGAGTGGTGGATGAGGATAAGGTTAATTAGGAGGTTGGAGAGTTAGCTGTCTGAATAGGTTCAGTGTTTCTGCCTTCCTATTGTCTTCTTTCTTAGTCTCCCGAGGTGTCTTATCTCTCCTCCTGAACCTATGTCTCCTTGATTTCTCTTATATTTTTTCCCTTTGCAGGTCCTGGAAGCCCAAGTGTGGACTCCTCTTCTGTGGTGACAGTACCCCGGCCTTCCACACCATCTCGTCTGGCTCTCTTCCTGCGGCAGCAGAGCCTGGGTGGCTCTGAGTCTCCAGGCCCAGCCCCTTGCTCACCAGGGCTTTCTGCATCCCCAGCCTCCAGCCCTGGCCGATGGCCTACCCCTGCAGAGGAGCCTGGAGAGCTGGAAGACAATTACCTGGAGTATCTGCGTGAGGCACGTCGTGGTGTGGATCGCTGTGTCCGAGCCTGTCGTACCTGGTCTGCCCCCTATGATGGCGAGCGGCCCTCTCCTGAGCCCAGTCCTTTTGGCTCCCGGACTAAGAAACGCAGCCTACTGCCTGAGGAGGACAGGAACAATGTGGGGGAAGGGGAGAAGGAAGAGCTGGGGAGTAAGGGGCTGGCTGGGGGTGCAGGGGAGGGCCCTGGTCACCTGCCCCCTCTCCAGCTCAATGGAGTGCCAGGATCATGGCCTGAGGGGGCCAAGAAGGTTCGTCTGGTGCCAAAGGAGGGAGTTGGGGAACTGCTAGAGGGCACCTCCGAGGGCATGGCAGGACTGGAGGGCTTTGGGCAGGAGCTCCGGGAGCTAGAGGTGGCATTGAGCAATGGGGGAACTGGCTCAGAGTCCCCCTTAGAACCTCCACTGCCCCTTGAGGAGGAGGAGGCCTATGAGAGCTTCACCTGTCCCCCTGAGCCCCCTGGACCCTTCCTCAGCAGCCCTTTGCGGACTCTCAACCAACTGCCAAGCCAGCCCTTCACTGGTAAGCTACTTAGCCTAGGCCTTCCCTTCTGTGTACTCTTTGCATGTTCTCGACATGTTTGTGCTGGTTTCTTGGACCTCTTGGCCATGTCATTTCTGTGTACTTGCCTAGTCCCTTATCCATCCTGCTTGCATCACTTCCAGATACATGTCATGTCATACTTGTGTCCCTGTGTCTGTCTGTATGTCTTCCATGCTTGTGCTGGTTTGAGTATTGACTTATATCTGAGCCTTGTATGTCTGTCCTATGTGCATGTTCCTCCTCTTTCCTTAGTCTGGCCATTTCCTGTGATTTGTAATTAGGATATTCTGTGTTTGGTGTTTCCTGGTGAATCACAACTATATTTCTGAACCATATGGAAGATATATGTGCTGTCCTGTGTGGAGAGGCACCTGTAAACACTCTCTATGCCATTCCCTTCAGTGTGTCTGGGTATTGGGTTTTCTGTCAGCTCTCCTGGGGCCTAGGGTTAACCTTCTGGTATTTTTCTCCCTACTCAGCTCCTTCCTCCCCATCTCTTTAAAGAAGAACTTGATTTCAAGTTTTTCCTGTTCACTTCCTTGTACCTTCTTGGTTACCATGACTGTCTACTAGCACTAAGACTGTCTTAAGCAGATGGGGTGCAGTCTCTTCGAAGGCAAATGACAAAACGTGTCCCTGAGCTCCCTGGTGGAGTTCATTTGGACTCTCAAGGATGCCCTGGAGCTCGACTTGATCTGAGTGGTTGGACTAACTCCTCTTTGTTTTTGTACGAGAGCCAGCTTGCCCCGCCATTCCAAACCTCAGGCCAGGAAAACCAGAAAACCAAACAAAAAACAAACCCACCTCTGAGAAATAATGGCTAAGGCTAAGATCACAGGCCTTGGATTATGCATACCTTACGTTTCCATCTCTGATATAGATGCATATAAATCATTTACTACAATTATGGCACATTGTGAGAACTCAGCAAGTGGTAGCTTTTCACTAGGATCTCTGGGTGCATAGCAGATTTAAGTTGACTAAGGCAAACACTCATCTTCCAGTTGTTCATAGGTTCATAGTCAGATTGTCATGCCTTGATAAGTTCATGTCTTGACTGGGCCTGGGAGATGCTGGTCGTCCTGCTCATATAGCACCAGGGCTTCTGCCATGGAGTTGTGCCAATTCCCTCTTGCCTCCTACAAAAAATCTGTCTTTCCATTTATTTAGCCTCTGCTCTATTCCTTTCAGCTCAGTACCACCAGGCGGTAACGTGCAGGTTTTACCACACTCTTGAAGTATTAGTTGAAGCTTTTGTCTTGTTTTCCTTTGGTAAACTTATCTGAGCTTTTCGAATTTTTTTTTTTTTGGCAAGAAAATTCCAGGAAATGAAAGGAATAGGACAAAATTATGGGGTATCTTAGGACTCTGTTAAGATAGAGTTGTTTTGAAGCTAATGTTAGACATGTGCCCCTGGAGTGAAAAATGTTTTAGGATCTTTTTCAGGATTCACTCCATCCTGCCCTCCATCATTCTTCTGTCTCAATTCATAGTACAGTTCTTAGATATACTCCCTTTCGCCAAAAAAATCACTGATCAGAAGGACTTGATGGCTATAGAGGCCTACTGCTGGTGATCTGGCTTAGCTGAGGTCAGTTTTCCCAGTGGATAATACTGATCCTTTCCCTTCCCTTCTCTCCCACCAAAGGGTCTGTCCTCAGTCAGTTTCTCTGCCCCTGCACTAAGCTATCCTTTTACTACATATTCTGTTCCACCTTCTTGGTTCCCAGCTTCTGAAAGACAAAACTGATGTCTTCTCTGGTCCTCCAAAGATTTTTTTTCCCTAACTTTAAATTGGCTCACATAGTTACTTTGTCTTTGCAACACCGTCTTCTAGCTTTCTTTCTGAGCAGGTTTAGTGTTATCCTCCGTTTTTTGTGGAACCTAATTCTTTTTGGACCTAGTTACTTTATCAACCTGTTTGTTCTTCTATTGTGCCTCTTGGGTGAGTCTTTTATAAAAACAGAGTATGTAATTGTATCTACGATTATAATTGAACACTTAAAATTTGCCATATCTGAGGCTAAATGCTTTATATTGATAACTATTCATCACCTTATGAGGTAGGTATATTTTCCTATTTTACGAACTAGGAAATAAGGCTTGGAAAGTTTTGACCTGTCCAAACTAGTAAAGGGCAAAGCCAATGAAACCAGATCTCTCAGACTTCAGAGCCTAAGATCTGGCTCGTCAGCTTGAATGTGTGTAAAGCTGGCATCTGGAATCTTGTGGGTCCATATGGTGTCTGCCGTCTTATTTCCTCCAGAATAGGTGGCCACAGGATATTTAAACATACCCAGAGGCTGACATACAAAAAATTTTCATCTGGTGGGGGTCTCTTGTTTTGGGGAGGAATGCGTGTGACGTGCATTGTGTTCAGGCCTTGTATCCTTGTGCCCACCTCCCCCCCAACCCAGGCCCCTTCATGGCTGTGCTCTTTGCCAAACTCGAGAACATGCTGCAGAACTCCGTCTATGTCAACTTCCTGCTGACGGGGCTGGTGGCCCAGCTGGCCTGTCACCCCCAGCCCCTGCTCCGCTCTTTCCTGCTCAACACCAACATGGTCTTCCAGCCCAGTGTCAAGTCCCTGCTGCAGGTGTGCGATGCATGCATGCGTGGGTGCGTCCAGGCTCCATGGTGGGCCTGGCCCGCAGCTGGAGTGACCGTGGGTGGGCTGGGAACAGGTCCAGTGGGACTAGAAAGGACTGTATCAGTCTAGAGGTGCTCAGAAATGTCATGAAGGTGTGCTTCATAGGTGCTGGGCTCTGTGAAGAATAAGATTGAGAACTTTGCGGCTTCCCAGGAGGACTTCCCAGCACTGCTATCCAAAGCCAAGAAGTACCTCATTGCCCGTGGCAAGTTGGACTGGGCTGAGGGCCCTGCAGCAGGACCTGCCCCGCGCCGTTCTGATCCCCTAGGTGAGGTCTATCCCACCACACCTGTACCTGCCCTCCCTAAATAGCCTATTAACCCAGGTTAATTGAGCTCTTATTAAGAGTGAAATGTTGTGCCAAGACCTGGTGAGTTATAGAAAATTGAGTCTTCATGTTTGTTTTCAGGCTTCTGGTCAGAGGATAGAACATAGTTCTATCTATTAAGAGCCAGATGAGAAGTTCTAGCAAAAACTACTCTAGAATTTGGGGACAAGAAAGAGGACAGAGTAGTCTCTAGGTTGCGATATTATTACAGCTTAGTAAAGGACATGACATTTGACATGGGCCTTGAGAGCTGGGTAGGACTTAAGTAGGCAAAGGAGTGGGGAATCTTTTTTTTTCAGGAGAGATCCTGGACTGTTTAGTTGGAGTAGGGGATTTAAAAGATGGTGGAATAGTTGGTAGTAAGGCTAGAGAGATTTGGCTGGAGCTCAATTTCTCAGAGTAGAAGTTGGGATGTTTTAGGCAGTGAAAAACCACTGGAAGTTCTAAAGCTGGAAGTGGAGAGATTACTATGTTAGCTCAGATGAAGTCAAGCTAGGAGAAAAGAGTCAGGAAGCATCAGGGGCTTCTGCCATATGTAGATGTTACCAGGGAGGCTTGAATTAGAATAGTGGACATGGAAGGGAAGCATTTAATGAGGCAGAAATGAGAAGGAAGTGTTGGTAGAGTTTGGTGAGTGGTGTAAGGAAGGAGGAAGAATTAAATGTGGTTATGAAGTTTTAAATCTAGACTTTTCGCTTAACAAGTATCTTGAACATTTGCCATGTGTGCCGGGCATTGTGTTTGGTACAGGGAATTCAGGGAGGTACAAGATGTAATTTCTGCCTTCAAAGAATGTACAATCTGGAGAGTGACTAGAGGAATGTAATACCAGAAGTAGGAGGGTCCTAAAGGTGTTGGGAGTAATGGGATCTAGAACAATAGAAAAGGATTAACTTTGGACAGGAAAAGGCTTTTTGTTTTTCTCCCTTTGAGGAAAATGAGCAGAGGGCTAGAAGAAACTGACAGGTGCCAGTTAGTTGTGAAGTATAGAGGAGAAAGGGATTTCACATCATTCTTTATTTACTAATCAAAGTAGAAGGCAAAATGATACGCTGAAAGCAGAGGAGGAGGCTTAATGAGAAAAGTGTACGGGTTGGGAAGAGAGTACCACAAAAGTTACTGCACAGCTGTGAAGTCTCAGGTAAAGTTCTTTTGCATGATTTCTTCATGGTCTAGTATTGTAAATATTTCTTCCTTCTACAGTTCTGGTGCTGGGGTCACTGTAGAGGGGCCAGGTAGACAAGGTAGACAAGACACAGTCTAAGCCCTTAAGCTCACAGGTTAGTGTGTGAGGTAGAAGACATAGAAATAAATTAAGTATGTTGAGTTAAGGGAAGTAAAATTGGGATTCAGTGGAAGACAAATCAAGAGGAGGCTTCCTAGAGAAGTGGGGATTATAAAATTTCACCTAGAATGATGAAAAAATTAGGGAGAAGAAAATTTAGGCAGAGGGAGCTACAGGTGCATGAAAAGTGCCTGGAGGGTTCCAGGGTGATAGATGTGGATGCAAAAGCAAGATGGGGTGTGGAGAGTTTGACAAGAAATTGTAGGAGTGTGAGCCTGATTGTGAAGGACTCTGAATGCCAAATTTAATAGATCGGTATAGTATTTCTGTAGCCAGTATTAGATGTAGGAAATGGGAATTGTTATTAGAATCTAGGCCTTTATAGTAGATATGGATCCAGACCCAGAAATCTAGGCAGAATGTTAGAGGCAAGAGGACATTGTTTTGAATGGCTCACTTGAGTCTAAGCTGACTTGAAATTGACTGCAACCAGTGGGAGAGAGGCTTTGGTGCAGGACAGGGACTGGTGAATGGTGAAGTGGTGAATGGTGAAGAGCAGATTTTGGAGGGACAGTAGAGTATGACAGAAGTGAAACTGTCACTGAACTATAATTGCATATATAGCCCCTGTGGGTATTGTAGGAGCAGAGGATGTGGATTGGGTGTTACAGATAAGCTGGGAAAGAGGTGGTTGACTGGTTCGGAAGGGTGATGGGAAGCATGAAATCAGGGCATGCTGTAGACAGAGGAGAAATAGCTTGGTGGTGGTAGATTAGTGATTGGAAAGAGGAGAATTCATCAGGGTCAGAGGGCATGGAGAAGGAATGGATCTTAACTGGGAATGAAGTGGCTAAAGTGTTGATTAGTTAAAGACTGAGAAGGATGGTTGGCTGAGTGGGGAGGCTGGATAGAGGGAAAAAGGCTGGGCAGGTAGTATTTTTGGTGTTAGAGTGAGAAAGAACTCCTCACTCTAGTCCTCAGAGTCAACTTCAGGGATGGGACAGGAAATGGTACCTGAGGTTCATTTCTGGTCCATTTTGTCCTTTTTTCCATTTCCTCAGAACCCTAAAGGAGAAGTCCAAGAACCTAGGGGGTGGGGGAATCTCCCCTCTCAGTCCAAGGGAGGTTCCTTGATCCCAGCACCTTCATGATACCCCTGTTTATTCCCAGTGAAGAGCCGGAGGCCATCCTTGGGGGAGTTACTCCTGCGGCATGCACACAGTCCAACCAGGGCCCGGCAGGCGGCACAATTGGTCCTTCAGCCTGGGCGAGACGGAGCAGGACTTGGCCTAAGTGGGGGCTCCCCTGGGGCTTCCACTCCAGTTCTACCTGCCCGGGGCGGGGCCCCTGAACGCCAAGGTGAGGCTCTTCGAGTCAAGAATGCTGTCTACTGTGCAGTCATTTTCCCTGAATTTCTCAAGGAGTTGGCTGCCATCTCCCAGGCTCATGCCGTCACCTCACCTTTCTTGTTGGAGACTTCAGAGGAAGGATCTGGCCCTCTCATCTCAGGCTATGGGCCCCTCAATCCTTAACTTTCTTCCATGGACAATCAGGGCCATGGGTGGCCTGGGCCCGGGCTGGGGCTAGGGCACAGGCTCCTTTTTATGTTTCGAGGCAGTGGCAAAAGGACTTTTTAATTTATTTCACATGAATGTTTTATGGAGAACTTGTTGCAATATGTATAAAAGGGAAATCTCTATTCTGTGCTCATTTTTCTTTCCCATTCTTTTTCTGTGGGGCTGGGGCCCCAGAAAAGGTTGTATATAGTGGGGGAGGTGGTCAGGAGTATTTTCTCTTTGGTGAGGACATTGCTGCCAAGGTTTCAGGGTACCCCTTATGCCCTTAGAGGGTGAAGGGACTCTTCCCTCTTCTCTGGATCCCAGAAGGAATAAGCAGCATGGGCCCAGGATGGTTTGGGGGAGCAGCAGCTGATGTTTATTAGAGACCAGTACCCCTATGCCAGATCTTGGGGGCTTTGCCCCCGGAATCTTTTGCTTCAGCTTCAGTCGTCGCTGTCGAACTCCGAGGATAGACCCTGCAGCAGGGGCAGGGACATGGAGTGCCCGTCGGGGTCCCTGGGGCCCCCACCCTGGGCTCCTGGTGGAGGGCTGCGGGGGCTGAAGAGCCAGTTCTCTGCCAGGGTTGGGGATAGTCACAGCTTGACTTATAGCTGGTCTTTTTCCTCCCTAGCTTTTCCCTCTGGTCCTCTGTGCCATCCCAATCCCCTTACCAGGGCCTTCTCATTCCATCTCACCCTCCCTGGGCTCCCTCATTCCATCTCTTTCACCAGAGCCCTGTGCTGAGTAATGGATTCCCCATATACTTAATTCTCATGCCTTCTCCCTCCTTCGCTTTGTCCCTCCCATCCATCTCATCATCATTTTCCCCTAGCAGTACCTGACAGTATCTGGGGCCCCCTCCGGAAGGGGTTTCGGCCCTTGTAGGAGAATCTGGTGGGTTTGCCCTCTGGCCCTTCCTGGGGAGGTGGTGTAGGTGGAGCTGGGACAGGTGGGGGCACATCAGCAGCTTCAGGTGTATCAGCAGGTGCTGATGTGGGGGCCAGAGGTGGCATGATGCTGAGGTTGAGTCTGACCCAGTTGGCCCCATGGAGCAATGGGTCTTTAGTCAGAGGCTTCTGTGGTCCCAGCACGCCCTTAGACTGCAGTGAAAACTTGAGGCAGGAGAAGGCAACAGGTAATGACCGATGTAGCTGGAGGAGCTGGGGCTCATGGGCTGTAGGCATCAGCCCCAGCTGCAGCCAGGAACAAGAGAAGACCTGGTAGATGACATAGATGCTGTGGGTGCTTCGGAGCCAGGAAAGAGTCTGCTGTAGGCTCACCTGCCCTGGTGGCAGCAACAGGAAGGCAACCTTCTTGCGCAGGCCACCCATCTGTAGGCGGATCTTGCATGGCTGCCCATCCAACATTCGCATCTCTTCATAGGCTATCTCTGCTTGGCCATTTGGTGAGTATTCCCGAGTGCAGTGGGTGAAGGCACCCTCAGATCCTGCCTGCTCCAGGAGGCTTGGTAGTGGCCCCACTGGTTTCAGTGCCCTCCGACCCTGCCGACCTGGCAAAGCCAGGCGGGTATGGGCTGGGCGGGACTGTTTTACCAGCACACCCAGTAGGTCATAGCAGACTGCATCTGACAGGAAAGGGACTGCTACTGCATTGGGCCCAAAGTGCTCCTCGATGACCTGCAGGTGGCCAGTTTATAGGTCAGGGACTTAGGGTCAGAAGTTAACTGGTTGCCTACTTTAAATTGACCCCCAGTGTTCACTGTTCAGTTACATCTCTATAGTGTTCAGATTTGTGCTTTCTGCTTATCTCCCAGCTCTCCTGCAGCAAAACTTTGAATGTCTACATGTCAAACTATCTAGGTAATGGGAAAACATAAAAGAATGAGACTTTGTCTTTGTCCTGATATAGTTTAGTCTAATGGAGAAGACAAAAATGTAAACAGCTATGTAAAATATTAATAGAAAGCAAGATGTGAAGGAGACAAGAAGTGATTGAACAGTCTTTACCTTTCATAGAAAGAGGATCAAGGAAGGTTTCTAGATGGTGATACTTGAGTTTTGAAGGAATTATCTAGGTAGGAGAATGGTCAATTCAGGCATAAGAGTCAGCCAGTGAAAAAACCTGAATTTATAAACCAAGGGGGGCACATTTAGGAACACATAATTTTATAATGCTTGTGTGTATGGTATGAAGAGGGAAAGGCACACAGGAACTAGATTATGAAAGGCTTGTGTGTGTGTCAAGTGAATTGCCCTGAAGGCAGTGGGAAGCTGCTTGAAGGGCTCTGGGTAGGAGGAACAGGATCAGATAGGTGTTTTTGAAAGCTATTTTTTTTTTTTTTTTTAATTGAGTCTCCTTTGTTGCCTAGACTGGAGTGCAGTGGTGCGATCTTGGCTCACTGAAACCTCTGCCTCCTGTGCTCAAGTGATTGTCCTGGCTCAGCCTCTTGAGTAGTTGGAATTACAGGCACCCACCACCACACCTGGCTTATTTTTTGTATTTTTAGTAGTGATGGGGTTTCACTCTGTTGCCTAGGCTGGTTTTGAACTCCTGAGCTCAGGCAGTCCACCTGCCTCGGCCTCCCAAAGTGTTGAGATTACAGGTGTGAGCTACCGCGCCTGGCCAGAAAGCTAATTTTTAATAGGAAGGCATAAAATAAGGGTGATAGATGAGCTAAGAGTATGGCAATACTCCAGGCAAGGCATGATAAGGTCCTGAACTAAAATAGAGGGGGAAGATACTAGAGATATTTAGGTTATAGAATTAGTAGAACTTGGTCACTTAGGAGATATGGAAAAAATCCTCGGCGGTGCACGCTGGCTCATGCCTATAATCCCAGCACTTTGGGAGGCCGAGACAGGTGGATCACCTGAGGTCAGGAGTTGGAGATCATTCTGACTAACATGGTGAAACCCTGTTTCTACTAAAAATAGAAAAATTAGCCGGGCATAGTGGCACACACCTGTAATCCCAGCTACTTGTGATACTGAGGCAGGAGAATTGCTTGAACCTGGGAGGCGGAGGTTGCAATGAGCCGAGATGGCACCACTGCACTCAACAGAGTCTCAAGCAAAAAAGAAAAAAAAAATCTTCAAGGATTCTTCTTAGGTGACTGGTTACATGGGTGATGTCAATAGTAGGTTACACAGAAATAGATTCGGAATGTCCATTCTTTTACCATGTCTGTTACCTCATAGTATATACCTTCTACCCTAGCTGCAAGGGGTAGTTTTTATAGGGAATTTGAGGCCTCATATTTATAATGTTAGTTAAAGTATGCTTTCAGGGATTTTAATTAATTGTGTGTGTGTGTGTGTGTGTTTTGTTGTTGTTTTGTCATGGCCTTTTTGGGGTTGGTAACCCTGGAAAGTTTATTTTTCATGACTAACTGGGAAACATAAGAGCCTGTCTAGTAATTGTACTTAAGTATGGTTTCAACCCATTCAGGATTTTGTGGCTGACGTTTCTGGTTCTCTGCTCTACTAGGGAGCAAGGGCACACAGAGTTTCCTCTTAGGGCATCTCGTATATTTGAGCCCAGTGCTTACAGTGCTGTACTCTACTCCCTACCTCCAGGCCCAAATTCCGCATGGCTATGCCCGTACTGATGGCATTGCCCTCTTTGTTGGCCTTCTGGTAGAATTCACCAGTGGCTCCTTAAGGCTGATCTACTTTTTGCTACAAAGCTGTTTTGGAAGTACTGCCTCCTAGCATAAGAGGAAGGTAGCTAACTATGGAGTTGCATCTGCACCTTGGATAAGCTGAGGTAGCTTGTAGACTACTGTCTTGTCACCTGGCCAAAGGAATAACTGATGTTCTTTTGTGGTCTGCATGGGAGAGTTTCCCATTATTCCTCTCCTTTGCTTCACTGGAATGCTTCCTTTTGGGTGGGGCTCTGAGAAGGACCAGTGGGGTTTCCAGGGGAGAGAGCAGAACACTGGTGGGTTGACGTTTTTGGATGCAATGCTTGCGCCATGACCATGAAATCAGATGCACCAAGCATGACATCAGAATCTCACTGTAACTGCTCCTTTGGTGTCAAGGATCCTGCACAAGTAAGATAAATGGGAGTGTCTGTTGAAGAGCCCCCTCTGATAGGAGTGTGACATTTAAAATACCTGGTGCTTATTATCCAAGTTTCTGCTAAAAGGGTGAATCTCGGTTTACCTGGAGGCTCTTTATTCCCCATATGCTCTTCCTATATGCTGACAGGCATTAAGTTGCCTAATTCTAACTCTCCCTGACCTTGACAGCTCCAGTGGTTATCCTAAAATAGGAAAAATAAGGAGCTCAGCAGTTCTTTGTTAGGGAGACTGTGTTCTTGGTAGAATCACTATTTAAGACTACTGTGTGCTCCTACAGAACTTTTGCTTCTGGATAGAAATTGTATGGACCTCAGGCCCACAAATTTAGGTTTTCCAGGGGCATCCCAGGAAAGTGATGGTGGAATATTGTTTTCCTAGATGTCCCTTGGTTCCATCGAATTCTGAATGTGGAGTTCTTGAGCCACATTCTGTTTAGCCAAATGTTTTACCATATGTTCAGTAAACTGTCAGTGGTTTTGGACACAGGAAACCAGGTCACTTAAAGGTGACCTAATCCTTGAATTTGCCCCATAATGCCAGTGATTTATCCTGCATATCTCTACTCCGATTTTCCTGACAATTTTCAGTTTAAATAGGATAATGAGTTTTTTGATACTCAGAGATGGCATAGCTTTCTAATAGTGGGAGACTCTGTTTGTTTTCAGTCTAATTCTGCTTGATCTAGTCCAGGACCAACCTTCTACACTGCTGAAACCAGTTGCTCTAATACTTGGGAAGACCTTGAGTTCTCCTGATTTTGCTTCCCTGGGAAGCTGGCCTTTGTGGTAAGCAGCTACCCTATTTGGAATGGAAGCAGCATGCCATTAAATCTTCTTTGAGTGTGGTAGGCACTGCTTTAAGATTTTTTTTTTTTTTTAAGCCTGGTAGGCTGACTTCTATGAATGTTATAAATTCACCTTCCTTCAAATCACATAGTCAGAATCTGATTCTAAATTATCTGATCTGAAATTTCCTGCCATCCAACCTGCAACTGAAAAGTGATTTGGTAGGATTTTTGGATACCTGCAACCCAGATACAGCTGAGATTGTCCTGCTCCTTAAAATATAAAAATCTGCCTCGAAATCCAAATTTCT